CAAGCCCCACCCCGCTCCCCCCAGCCCAGTGCCCCCTGCTGCCCTCCCGCCCCCTGCCGAGCCCCCCACCCTGACTGCCGGGGCGTTACCTCGCCATCAGGGTGGGGGTCGGGGGACGGTGGCTTCGGCTCGGCTCCGCCAGGCGCTGTGGGGCCGGGCTGCTCCACTGGGAACGGAGAGAGACAGCGAAAGGTGACGGAGGCCAGGGTTTGGGCCCCCCAGCCCCGCCCCCCCAGATGGGAGCCGGCGTCCCCTAGTGGGGACAGGCCCCTGCCCCATTCACTGCCCCCCTGAGCCAGCCAGTCCCCGCCCTGGGGCCGGGTGGGAGTGCAACGAAGTGGAGTTTTATTCATCTCGTTATGTTGCGTGCGAGTCTTCCTGTCCCAGACTTACGCCGCGTGTGCCTCAGTTTCCCTGTGCGCTGCACCGACACTTCGGGAGTGGGAATTGGGGGGGTGTTTTGCTGGGGCCCTGGGGCAGGGGAGGCCGCCCAGCTGTCTGCACCTCTGTGACCTGGGACCCAGGAGGGGTGCGACCAGGTGATACCTTTGGCCCGGGAAGCGAGAGGAGGAGGAGGAGCAAAGGGGGATGTCGGAGGTGGGGTGGCTGGAGGTCTGCGAGGGGGCGCTGGAAGGGGAAATCCAGGCCTAGGACTCCCCAGGACGGAGTTGGCTGAAAGTCCCTGATTTCTGTGCTAACAGCCTCTGCCCCACGCCGTGATCCTGTCGCCTGATAAACCTTCTGTGTCCCCGGCTGGCTGAGAGTCACGTCTGACTGCAGAGTTGGGGGGCAGGGCCCCCTGGGCCCCCCAGGACCCCGCCCGGGCGGACGCGCTCTGGGAAGCGCACGGTGGGACGGGGGAGGCCGGATGCTCCGGGGTCAGACCCAGGGAGGTGGAAGCTGGAGACAGTCGCTCAGAGCGAGGAGGGTCCCCCAGATCCTGCCCGGCTTCGTGGGGAGCAGGTCCCGAGCATCGCCCGGGGACCCCGTGACAGGGAGCGGCGCCCCCTAGAGGGG